AAAAATGTTCATCATTAGCCATCAGGGAAATTCAAATCAAAACCACATTGAGATACCACATTACACCAGTCAGAATGACCAAAATTAACAAGATAGGAAATGACAAGTGTTGGAGAGGATGTGGAGAAAGAGGAACCCTCTTACACTGTTGGTGGGAATGCAAGTTGGTGCAGCCACTTTGGAAAACAGTGTGGAGATTCCTCAAGAAATTAAAAATAGGGGCAGCTGGGTGGCTCAGTGGGTTAAAGCCTCTGCCTTCCGCTCAGGTCATGATCTCAGGGTCCTGGGATCGAGCCCCACATCGGGCTCTCTGCTCAGCGGGGAGCCTGCTTCCTCCTCTCTCTCTGCCTGCCTCTCTGCCTACTTGTGGTCTCTGTCTGTCAAATAAATAAATAAAATCTTAAAAAAAAAAAAAAAGAAAGAAATTAAAAATAGAGCTACTCTATGACCCTGCAATTGCACTACTGGTGTTTACTCCAAAAATACAGATGTAGTGAAAAGAAGGGCCATTTGTACCCCAGTGTTCATAGCAGCAATGGCCACAGTCACTAAACTATGGAAAGAACCAAGATGCCCTTCAACAGACAAATGGATAAAGAAGATATGGTCCATATACACAATGGAGTAGTATGCCTCCATCAGAAAGGATGAACTGCAAACATTATTTGCAAATCATATATTTGATTATATTTGATAAGGGTTTAAGATCTAAAATATATAAATAACTCCTATACCTCAACAACAAAAAACAAACAATCCATTAAAAAGACAAGCAAAGGATTTCAATAGACATTTTTCCTAAAAAGATACACAAATATCCATTAAGTGCAAAAAATGATACTTAACATTATCTGTCAATAGGGAATGACAAATCTAAATCACAATGAGATTACACTCTATAATGTACTATAATGGCTATATTTTTTTAAAAGAAATTATAACAAGAATAGTAAACAACAAGTGTTAGCTAAGTCCCAGACTATAGAGACAGCCAAATTTCCTTAACATTACCATTTGCCCTCCCCCCATTTATGGTCTCCCTTAGTTTACACTGTATTTTCCCATAGCACTTGTGACCTTTTAAAAACTCTACAATTATTTTATAGACAAATATGGGGGTAGGTGGAAGATGGAGGAGAGAGAGAGAAAACATTTTTTGTTTAAATATAGAAGATGAGAAAAACCATTTTTTTGTTTCACTTACTGACATAAACTAGGTGTCTCCAACACAGCTTAACACATAACTTCTCAATAAATATGTGTTAAATTTATTCGCTCTGTTTTCTCCACCTCTTTTGACGAGGTTTTAAAATTTTATGTCTTTCCAAACCCTCTCTGTCTTTTATCTATGTTCTATTCCATTAATTTGCACATTAGCTAATTAGCTTCTAATATAAGATTTCTACATAAAGTTTCTATATTAGTTTCTAATATGAACTAATATAAACTATATATTAGTTTCTAATATCTATAAATTCTTCTCTATGTATTCACTAGGCTATATCCCACAAGATTTGTGTGCATTGTTTTTATTAGTTAAAACATTTTCTAATTTTACTGTAATTTTTTTATTGGAGGGGAGGAAGAGGTTACTTAAAGTGTGTTTTTCCTAACCAATAGGTATTTTCCAGCTTTTTCTAATTGATTTCCAATCTAATTAAAAAGAATAATGTGCCACTTTAATCCATTTTAAAGCATTAAAATTTCCTTAATGTTTACCAATAATATAATCTCTTTTTTGATAAATATACTGTGTATGTTTCAAAAAATAGGTATCTACAGATGTAAATACAGTGTTACCTTTGCCCATTAGGTACAGATTCCTTACTAATTATGTTGAGTAAATATCCAGCATTCTTACTAATCATGGTACAGAATTAAATTACTTTCAGCATGCCTGAGACACTCTTAATTATGTATGAACAATAAATATGCTAATTAGACTATATGTTGAAACAAAAAATATGGATGCTTTCTGAACAAGCTTCTATATCATTGGCAAAGATATGTTCAAATAAGATTTTAGAGTTGTCAGACATATATATTACTTTCTTCTTGTTTGCTATGTCCCATATTTTAGACATGATATTTATATAGTATAGCCAAAAATAACATTTTAATTTTTCTGCCAGATTTTGTTTTCAGAGTCTATACTGATCTATAGAAAATTAAAGCAGCAGGCACTACTATTTTATAAAAGATTATTCTCTTCCTTTTCATCAGAGACAGTCCATTCCCTTAAAGGGAGTTTTAAAATCTTTCTGCTATTCCTCCGTGGTGTATTTCTACCTAATGATATTTCAGAAATTTTCTTAGAGTTGTGATATTCAATCAGACTTTACGTAGGATTCTAAATAAAACAATAAACAAAACCCCAAGTACTACAGAACTCAAGGCTGGATTTTTGATTGCCTGTCACCCAAATTTCTGCAATCAGTTGCTATGGTAATTTTTAAGATTATTTTTTCCCTTCTTATTCTTCTGGGACTAATCAGAGCATCAAAGTTTACAGTATACACAGGATAACAACTCATAATGCATATGGCATATGTTAGCCACTTTATATTTAAAATGTTTAATATTATAAAATGAGATTATAGGTAAATTTTTAAAAATACATAGTATTTAAGCAATGTTATTTAAAAAATTATACATCAACAATGAATCTTGGAACACTACATCAAAAACTAATGATGTACTGTATAGTGACTAACATAACAATCTAAAAAAATGTACAAATAAATAAATAATCATACTCATGTAGGAGAACCAGTATCAAAATGGGGCCTCTTTTATAAGGTCTTCCGTCTTGCTGTTTATTTGTTCTAAGAGCTGAAAAAGTTTTCTTTTTTCTATATAATATCTGGAAGTAATTCAGCTTTCTTGCTCTAGTATTACAGATATGTGTAGCTCACTCAAACCTTAAACAAGGGTAATTTGGCAATCACTTCACCAATAAACACATTCTGGTGCAACTTTTCCTCCAAAGTGTGAGGATACTTTTACCTTTATTTTTCATATAAAAGAACCACCAGTATTATGCTACGTGAAGTAAGTCAGAGAAAGACAACAAATACCAGATGATTTGTATGTGGAATCTATAACATGGAGCAATTAAATAAACAAAAAGCAGAACCAAACCTATAAATACTGAGAGCTATGTGATGGTTGCCAGAGGGTAAGAGGGTGGGGGATGGGTAAAATGGGCGAAGGGCAGTTGGGAGACACAGACTTCTGTTACAGACTGAGTAAGTCATGGGGATGAAAAATACAGCACTGGGACTACAGTCGATGGTATTGCAATAGCACTGTGTGGGACGGCAGGCAGCTACACTGGTGCTGAGCACAGCATGGTGTATAGAGCCGCTGAATCACTATGTTGTACACCCGAAACTAATGTAACTGTGTGTCCACTGCGCTCAGAAAAGGAAGAATGACCACGACAGTAAGTTCCCATATATTTCAGACTCTGTCAGCATATCAGCATCCTTTCCTGAATACAAAGCATTCCTAGAAATATTTATAAATTTAGAACCTAAATACAAAGAGTTCTGGGAAACTTTGGCTATAAATAAATCGATACTTTCAAAATTACATTACATTTTATCTGGGGAAAGAGATAGATTGGCAACATAAGAAATAAAATTCAAAAGCCTAATATCTGCTCTATCTGATAACCTAATAGATTTCTCTGATATTGAAATGAAAATGGCAATGAAGAAATTGTAAAAACCATTTGATGCAGAAAGTATACATGCAGCAGAAAACATTTATAAGGTAAAGATAAATATGAATTCAGAACTCAAGATTAGCCAAATATTTTTGCTTGGTTCCTATGTGCTAATAATGAAATATTGTAAGAAACAATCCACAAGTAAAGGAACAGTTACTTGATATAAATAGGATTTCTATGTCTACAACTTTTTTTTTTATATTGTTAAGATTCAGCATTACACAGAGGAGGTATGGTAGCTTGAGCAAAGCAGTGAATCATAAAGTACTTGATTCTAGGATCAATTCTGTCAACACCAGTCTTAAGAACTCTGACAAAATCTTAAGCACCCCTGTTGGCAGCTTTGTCTGTGCAATATACACTAAGAGTATCTGTCCCACTCACCCCTCAGGGCTTCTGTGAAGATCAAGCAGACATTAGTAAATGAGATGGCTTTGAAAGTTAAAAGCTCTATACAAATGAGAGCTCTCATTCTACTGAAAGTGTTCCTGATATTCACAGATTTGGTTCAGCAACAACAGCAAAGGCTCAAACTAAAATAGTCTTGCTCAGAAGTTATTACTAGTAAGTAGAATAATTTGTCAACCTTCATTTCAAAAATATGTATTCACCTCATTTGCAATGAAATGAGGTAATAACCGGGCTGTGTTGCACAATTTACAGACTTACCAAATGAGCACATATGGCCCATTTAGCTAAGGATATTTTAATAGGTGCTGTTTATTATGAGTTGATCTCCTACAATAATATCACATAGCTGATATGTATTTCCTTTAGAAGACCGCTTTGTTTAATATAATATCTAGGTATTTACATATTTTTTGGTTTCTTTTTTTTTTCTAACATTTATCACATCTCTTAATTTACGCAAAGGAATGACAACTCTCTCCAGCGCATCAAAGCACAGAGGCCAGTGAGCCCTGCATAAATTGGCATTGATGGATGTTTTGCTTGTCTTTTTCCCAAAACATTCTTTCATATGAAAAATACCTGTTTCCATTCTGTTTGTCTGTGAAGACACCTGTTTTTCAATTTATCACCAATTATCTCACACATAACCAAGTCACCACCTACTTTTAAATGAATTACAGTTCTAAATTCAGTATGGAGAGAAAGAAAGAAATGTATTTACATAAGTAAATCACCTTACCTGCCTTGGCGGCTAGGCTATGCACACTTTGTATGTTTCAGCAACTAACACACTACTTGCAAGCTAAGGTTGTAGGAGACAAAGGGAAAAGGGAGGAAATAGAACACTTCCACTTACTGCAAATGAAAGTAGACTCATCTGAATTATCAGCGCAGTCATTCACAAAATCACACAGCTTGTCCTTTGCAATGCATTGCTTGTTGGCACACGTGAATTCTTGAGCGGTACACTTCCTGTCTGGGCTAAGTAGGGGGGCACAATCTTGAAAGGAAATATCGTCCACTGCTACATCTCCCATGTAACTGATACCACGCTTTGCCCTAAAGACAATCTTTAAAAAAAAAAAAGAAAAAGGTAAGGAAGAGAGGAAAGAAATAAAGAAATCCAATTTTAGTTGAACTAATAATTCAAAATTTGAGGCAAATTTTAAATATAGGACATCAGGTTTGAATCTTAGAAAAATACCCCCAACATGAAACTGACCCAAGATGCCTGAGAGTCATCCCACAAATGCAGGAGGGGCAACAGCACTGCTCTTGTCTAGATTTTTAGGACAGGTGGCAAAGAAAACCAGTAGGGGCCACCAAGCTACCAGTGCTGCTCCTGCAGCTCTCTCATCCAAAACAAGATCTGCTCCCTTCTTAGGGCCTCACTTGCACCTTGTATGGGAGGAAGGAGGCCACAATCAGGTGACAAAGCACGCGAAGAGAAAAAAGATACAACCACATCCTTGATTTTGACCAATATGTTGCCACTCCTCAGATCTGTCCACCCCAACTATGTGAAAGGAAAGATATCAAACCTCAATACCATGAGTTTTTTTAAATTGCCCCCATATTCAGAATGGAAATGATTTTCATTTGCCTTTGATGTATGTGATTGACAAAATTCTCATTTGTACCACTAACAGGGAGGTCCCACTGAACATGGTCTCCAAATGAATTAGAAATGATTAAAACTAGTAACAGCAGCTGCTAAAATGTTTAGAGATTTCGTCTTCAGTTGTAACACTACCAATGCTTGGAAGAACAATTAACACTGTTTCACAGAACCCAAGAAGTCACAAATTATTTAGTTTCAAATTTCTAAGTGACATTAATTCAGAATGCTTCTATTAAACTTTTCTGCATGCCAAATATGTATTTGTGTATTAACATAAGAAGTATTCACTTTTTAAAGTAAACGTAGAACAATTCAAAATAAGTTAACAAGGAATACAGAATTACTTCCGTGATTTTATACGAATATTTATTGTTCAAGCTCCCAAACACCTTTTGACCAACTCTAAACATTTTTCTCGAAAGAATTACAATTTCTCCTGAGGATGTGTTATGCTTTCATGTGACTCCATGAAAACCTCAGCGTTCTCCTTTTAAGATTAGATTTTAGAATAATTGAAAATCATGCCTCTCAAATTATCAAAACCAAAACAAAAAATATAATTTTTGTGTAAAATCATATACCAAATTTACATAAACTGTTCTTCATAATAGATATGCTGGAAAAGAAAAATAAATTTGATTGAGAGGTTTGAAGTCATTAAGAAGAGGTGAAATTAGAAAGAATAAGGACTCCAGTGTTTTGTAAGGAAACACCATTACACAAATGAAAAGGGTACTCTATTTTCTGGATGCCTCTAAACATTTAAATATTTGATACAATGTTCTATGAAAAAGGAGTCAGATAATAAGTGTTTCCTTATTAATTTATTCTTGGGCAGTTCTATAGATGGACCCTCAGGTGCCTGCGAGGTCCAAATGATCAAATCCCTGCTTATATCCCAATGCTCCATAAAATGTTGGTTAAGATTCCATAGACTTTCCTACCGAATGTGATTACACTTTTTAAAAAAAAGAATTGTATTTTTTCCAGTAAAATAAAAGCAGGGTCAATTATTCTGGAAAAGTTGGAAAGCAATATGGCACACTATTTGGATTATGAACTTAATGAACTTAATGAATTAGCCTTGCTGACAGTCTCCCTATGCCATTTTGTAGTCTACAACTAGGAGTTCCCTCATGTGTAGGTAATTGTGTATTCTATCTATAAAAGGGGATAATGATCATATAATTACTGTAAAAACTAAAACAAATAAATGTTTCAAATTTATAGACTAGTACTTAGCACTAAGTGTTAAGTATATGCCTGCTCTAGTTAATCAAACTATTTTAATTAAACACTCTGTTTACATTTGAGGGCTCCCAAATAAAACTCTGAAAACTACCCAGTGTTGATTCTGCATATAACTTCTAACCGTATCTTTGACTTTTTCTCAAGGTTTAGAGTTTCACCTCTTCCTGAGGTGAAAGGGGTAACACTGTAAAAACAGAAGAAACACAGACAGTATGCCTGGCTTATCAGTCTATCTCCAGTGCACAGTAATGAGCTTTGCACATAGTGGGGGCTTAGTAGGTCTGTATTGAAAGAACGAGTGAATCACCAAAAAACATCAAATATTCACAAGCCATTATTATCTACTTTTAAGATTCAAACAACACAGGCATATATCTCTTCAATCAAATTTCAATATATGAGAAAGCACATTTCAGAAAGGCTAAGTTAATTAATAATTGATTCTTCCTGCTGAAATTCCCTTTAATGTTATTTTGAATATGATTTTACTATACAAATATTCCACTTGCACAGAACTAGTTAAGAATTCATTGCCTGGGGTAGAAGCCTATGTCCAGCAGCAGCGAAACCTTCTCCATGTTCTTGCTGAGGATTCTTCTACCCTCAGTTAAAAGATGTTAGGGAATGAACTGGTGGAATCATTTTAAAAATAAATTTCATATTGTGCAATATAAAAGTACAGTCCAATAATTACATCTTCAGGCTGAACTTATTTCTTATCAATTTCCTAAATTATCTACAAATGACCCATAAGAAAACAGGACTCCAGTGAGAGGCCAAAAACATACGGACTTTATCACACCTGCCATTCCAAGAAATTGGGGACAGTACTGTATTAATGCCTTTACACAGAAGTAGCTGTTCAGTGTTTCCACTGGAATGGAGAGGGGCTGATCTCTCACACAGCCCATGACTATATATAGTTACTGACTGTGCACAGCAGAAGAGGCTACTATATACAGAGGACTAGAAATGCAATAATTAGCCAAGATATATCTTCTACCTAGAGATAAATGGTTCTAAATTCATGAAATTAAGCCCTATGCAATTAAGACTAAGAAAATGTTCCCCAGCATAAATGCCTCTGGATTCTCACTCCCCTGATTCAAATCTTTACAATTTTAATAGCTAAGCCTCATCTTCCAAGAAAATCCCCTTCTGCCAAATACATGCACACACCACACACACACACACACACATCCATCAGCTCTTATTTTCTTGATAACCCATAAGAAACAAAATACACACTAATTATCTTGGCATGTAATTACCTTCAATTTTAGCACACATACTACTTATTTTAAATTTATAAATATGAATAAGTCATATTCTCCTAATATTATTGTAATCTACATGAAGACAAATACAGCATTATATAATTTCGTGCCACCCCAAATATTTTTTAATTGCGTAAATCTATTACCTCTAACAAGGTTCAACAATACAATGTGCTTCAAAAGTCTATCTTTTTAATTAGCTTTGAAATAGAGTAACATAATTACTCTGCAGTCTCTGAGGTTATATCTGTAAAATCAAGGGATGTGTTCTTTGTACGAGGAGGCTGATTGTAAAGTGCAGCATAGTTAGCATTAAAATTACATAGTCCTAGAACATGGTTGTCTGATTGGGAGAAATGAGGACATCTGGAACTGTTAAATTCCTTATGGAAATGACATGGAGTGGTAAGCGTTCATGTAACATATCAGGAATGGGAGGGAAAAAAGGCTAGGAGTAGAGGAAATAAAGTAGGATTAAAGAAAAAGAAAATGAAAACACTCCCTCGTCATCCAACAACTACTTGGCTTACCAACCTGTATATGTGACTGAACGCCTAGAAACACTTCTACTTTCTTCCACTGTGCACCTTGCTGTCCTCTTTGAGCCCACAATTTAGAAGTAACATTGTCTTTCTTGCTGAGTACCTAAAGAGATAAATCAAGTAAGAGGTGTTAAACTATTCTGTATTGATAAAATTTTAAATATTTAAAATTTGCCCAGTGAGTTTTTAAAATTTTAATATCACCATTAAGTTCCTTAGAGAAAAGTGGGGACAGTTTTCATCACATGTCTTTGTTTTCTACATAGCAATGTGTCTGCAGGATCCCTCACGAGCTTTCTGTAATAAAGGTATACATGAGTATCTGTCAGTCAAGTCCAAAGGGTCTAGACATGATCTCATCAACTCTTAAGTACACTGGCTTTAAAAAAAAAAAAAAACAAAAAACTGACATAAGTACCTGGAATTTTATAAATTAAATAATGGTCATGGAGTCTAAATGAAAAGCACTTACTACTTACTAAAACGGTTTTAGGCTTTGGTTTTTGTTTTTGTTTTTGAAGATGATTTCCCTTCCTCATGCTCTTGGGTTCAGTGGGGACAGTGTGTTAAAATAGGAATCCATTCAATTTTAACAGCATGCCTGGATGATATGAGTGAGTGCTGACCCATCCTGTGATGGTAAGAGCTCCCCACCCAAGAGCCTTGAAAACTTGCATTCTCATCAGTACTGTATCCTTGCTCTTAAGGGAAATTCGGATTAGCTTCAGCAGACAAATTATCCTGGCTCTCCTTTTAGAATGTTACAGAATAAACCAAAAAGAGAGTAACTGAAGAGAACAGGAAAAAACAGAATAACTCTACCTTTTAAAGTGACAGACTTAGTAGGCTTATTTAAGGATTTCACAACATTACTTTTTAAAAATACAATGTGTACAACTGAAAGAATAATTCTAGTAATGGGTATGTGACTTTCTGACTACCTGAAAGTGAAGGTAACTTTTAATGGTTTCATTATCTCCTTCCTTTCAATTAAATTGAAACAGCTATATTTTACTGGAGTATAACAACATTCAAACTATTAATTTTATAGAAATAGAGTTTCTAGACCCTTTAGAATCTCTAAGTAATATGGGGCTAACAAAAATAATATCAAAGTTTCGGTCTATATAATTTAAGTTAAAACAACAGGCTATCAAGGTCAAAAAATATAATTTCAAAAAAATAATTTTTATGAATAATTCAAAAAATACTTTAAAAAAGGATGGGAAATAGATCTTTGTATGAAAACCATTCTATATACAAATGACTAAGAAAAATGTGTTCATGCACAAAAATAAGGATCATATGCATTACCATTTTAGTTATTTGATAACTACTTTTAACATTTTAATATTTTCTAATTTTTCACCTAATACAAAACTGTACCTGAAAAAGGAAAGTATATTTCAGATAATTAATCTTAACTACAAAATATACCAGTTAAATAATTCTTATTTTTCAGATGAAGACCCTGCAGTAAGCTGTATTGTTTGCCAAAAACCATTAAAAAAAAAAAAAATCAGGAGTCAAAATGGCAGAGAAGTAGGCTGGGACTACTTCAGGTAGTGGGAGATCAGCTAGATAGCTTATCTAAAGATTGCAAACACCTACAAATCCAACGGGAGATCGAAGAGAAGAACAGCAATTCTAGAAACAGAAAATCAACCACTTTCTGAAAGGTAGGACTGGCGGAGAAGTGACTCCAAAGGGACGGGAAGATAGACCGCGGGGGGAGGGGCCGGCTCCCGGCAAGCGGCGGAGCAACGGAGCACAAAATCAGGACTTTTAAAAGTCTGTTCCGCTGAGGGACATCGCTCCAGAGGCTTAACCGGGGTGAAGCCCACGCTGGGTCAGCGTGGCCTCAGGTCCCACAGGGTCACAGAAGGATCGGGGGTGTCTGAGTGTCGCAGAGCTCTCAGGTATTAGAGCGGGGAAGCCGGCTACAGAGACGGAGCCGAGGAGTGAGCTCACAGCTCGGGGTTACCTTGAACCGGTCGCAGGATCGGTCAGCTCGGAGCGCGGCCGGAGGCCAGGGTGACGGGAGTAATTGGGCGCTGTTCTCTGAGGGCGCACTGAGGAGTGGGGCCCCGAGCTCTCGGCTCCTCCGGACCGGAGACTGGGAGGCCGCCATCTTCATTCCCGCCCTCCGGAGCTCTACGGAAAGCGCTCAGGGAACAAAAGCTCCCGAAAGCAAACCCGAGCGGATTACTCAGCCCGGCCCCGGGTAAGGGCGGTGCAACTCCGCCTGGGGCAAAGACACTTGAGAATCACTACAACAGGCCCCTCCCCCAGAAGATCAACAAGAAACCCAGCCAGGACCAAGTTCACCTACCAAGGAGTGCAGTTTCAATACCAAGGAGATCAGCGGAATTCCAGAGGAGGAGAAAGGAAAGCACGGAACTCATGGCTTTCTCCCCATGATTCTTTAGTCTTGCAGTTAATTTAATTTTTTTTCTTTTTCAATTTTTTTCTCTTCTTCTGTGAAATTTTTTTTAACTTTTACCCTTTTCTTTTTTAACGTTTTTTAACTAGTTTATCTTATATATTTTTTTTCTTTTTTATATTTTTTCTTTATTCATTTTTTAAAGATTTTATTTATTTATTTGACAGACAGAGATCACAGGTAGGCAGAGAGGCAGGCAGAGAAAGAGGGGGAAGCAGGCTCCCCGCTGAGCAGAGAGCCCGATGCGGGGCTCGATCCCAGGACCCGGGGATCATGACGTGAGCCGAAGGCAGAGGCTTTAACCCACTGAGCCACCCAGGCGCCCTATCGTTTTCTTTTTTTAATTGTTTCTTCTTTTTTTTTTTTCTTTCTAAACCTCTTTTTATCCCCTTTTTCCCCCCTCATGATTTGGGATCTCTTCTGATTTGGTTAAAGCATATTTTCCTGGGGTTGTTGCCACCCTTTTAGTATTTTACTTGCTCCTTCATATACTCTTATCTGGACAAAATGACAAGGCAGAAAAATTCACCACAAAAAAAAAAAAAAAATAACAAGAGGCAGTACCAAAGGCTAGGGACCTAATCAATACAGATTGGTAAAATGTCAGATCTAGAGTTCAGAATGACGATTCTCAAGGTTCTAGCCGGGCTCAAAAAAGGCATGGAAGATATTAGAGAAACCCTCTCGGGAGATATAAAAGCCCTTTCTGGAGAAATAAAAGAACTAAAATCTAACCAAGTTGAAATAAAAAAAAAGCTATTAATGAGGTGCAATAAAAAATGGAGGATCTCACTGCTAGGATAAATGAGGCAGAAGAAAGAATTAGCGATATAGAAGATGAAATGACAGAGAATAAAGAAGCTGAGCAAAAGAGGGACAAACAGCTACTGGACCACGAGGGGAGAATCTGAGAGATAAGTGACACCATAAGATGAAACAACATTAGAATAATTGGGATTCCAGAAGAAGAAGAAAGAGAGAGGGGAGCAGAAGGTATATTGGAAAGAATGATTGGAGAAAATTTCCCCAGTATGGCAAAGGGAACAAGCATCAAAATCCAGGAGCTACAGAGAACCCCCCTCAAAATCAATAAGATTTTGATATTGACACCCCATCACCTAATAGTAAAATTTACAAGCCTTAATGACAAGGAGAAAATCCTGAAAGCAGCCCGGGGAAAAAGTCTGTAACATACAATGGTAAAAATATTAGACTGGCAGCAGACTTATCCACAGATACCTGGAAGGCCAGAAAGAGCTGGCATGATATATTCAGAGCAGTAAACGAGAAAAACATGCAGCCAAGAATACTATATCCAGCTAGGCTATCATTGAAAATAGAAGGAGAGATTAAAAGCTTCCAGGACAAACAAAAACTGAAAGAATTTGCAAGCACCAAGCCAGCTCTACAGGAAATATTGAAAGGGGTCCTCTAAGCAAAAAGAGAGCCTAAAAGTAGTAGATCAGAAAGGAACAGAGACAATATACAGTAACAGTCACCTTACAGGCAATACAATGGCACTAAATTCATCTCTCTCGATAGTTACCCTGAATGTTAATGGGCTAAATGCCCCAATCAAAAGACACAGGGTTTCGGAATGGATAAAAAAACAAAACCCATCTCTATGTTGCCTACAAGAAACTCATTTTAAACCCGAAGACACCTCCAGATTTAAAGTGAGGGGGTGGAAAACAATTTACCATGCTAATGGACATCAGAAGAAAGCAGGAGTGGCAATCCTTATATCAGATCATTTAGATTTTAAGCCAAAGACTATAATAAGAGATGAGGAAGGACACTATATCATCCTCAAAGGATCTGTCCAACGAGAAGATCTAACAATTGTAAATATCTATGCCCCTAACGTGAGAGCAGCCAACTATATAAACCAATTAATAACAAAATCAAAGAAGCACATCGACAATAATACAATAATAGTAGGGGACTTTAACACTCCCCTCACTGAAATAAACAGATCACCCAAGCAAAAGATCAACAAGCAAATAAAGGCCTTAAATGACACACTGGACCAGATGGACATCACAGATATATTCAGAATATTTCATCCCAAAGCAACAGAATACACATTCTTCTCTAGTGCACATGGAACATTCTCCAGAATAGATCACATCCTCGGTCCTAAATCAGGTCTCAACTGGTATCAAAAGATTGGGATCATTCCCTGCATATTTTCAGACCACAATGCTCTGAAGCTAGAACTCAATCACAAGAGGAAATTTGGAAAGAACCCAAATACATGGAGACTAAACAGCATCCTTCTAAAGAATGAATGGGTCAACCAGGAAATTAAAGAAGAATTGAAAAAAATCATGGAAACAAATGATAATGAAAACACAACGGTTCAAAATCTGTAGGACACAGCAAAGGCAGTCCTGAGAGGAAAATATATAGTGGTTCAACAAGCCTTTCTCAAGAAACAAGAAAGGTCTCAGGTACACAACCTAACCCTACACCTAAGGGAGCTGGAGAAAGAACAAGAAAGAAACCCTAAACCCAGCAGGAGAAGAGAAATCATAAAGATCAGAGCAGAAATCAATGAAATAGAAACCAAAAAACAATAGAACAAATCAACGAAACTAGGAGCTGGTTCTTTGAAAGAATTAATAAGATTGATAAACCCCTGGCCAGACTTATCAAAA